TTCCAATGGATATCGCAATGTAATGGGTCTGATTAACGCCATCACCACGGCCATGCGTTCCGATCGATTTAATATGCCTATCGCCTATAAATGCGGCTGCGCACCGTTGGTACTCATCGGCACATACTCCCATGGATCCGTCGACCACGGGCTCCCATATCGATTGTATCTTGATGGGTATGTAGATCTTACTACTCGTCCTCCTCCACTGTGATCCTCCCAGGTGTCCTGAGGACCCCTGATAATACCCTTGGAGGCTAGATCCCCAAAAGTCCGGAACCGCCCATTTTTGTCCGATCCGTTCTGGCGGGATTTAGCTGATTTTTGTCCGAACCGGACCTAGCCGAAGGTGACATAACCTGCCAAAAGCGGCAATTTTGGGCCCTTGAGACCGAAAAACGTCAGAATTTTCTTCCAGGCCCATTTCCGGCTTATTTTACACTGGTTTTTTTTGCGATTCTAAAAGGTTTCACAGCCCAAAGCCTTCTTCCATTGACTTTTTGTTGCCAAATTCTGTCGACCAAAGCCAGATTTTTGTCCGAACGGGACCTAGGATCGTCGCGTCAGAGGCCCAATTTTTGCCCGAATTGGCCCAAAACTGCAAATTTTTGTCCGAACCCGGATCTGGCCTCCAGCAGACAATTGTAAGTTCTGCAAAATTTATTGAAAAACACTGGACGGCTCACCGCAGAAACCAGATTCCAGCGCCTCCTCTCGATGCTAACCCTATAAACAAGAACACGCCCGGGTACATGGCAATGGCATTTCCAACCCTCTTTCCGGACGGAGAGGGCGACTTTCACCGAAATCGACCACACAAGGTGCAGTTTGGTGCTTATGTCGACCATCTGATGCGTTTCGAGGGAGGCCGATTCGCATGCCATCGCCGGTTCCCTTGGTATGCATTCAACACTCCAGCGCCAGCGTACCCATAGCCAAGCTAAAATATTCATCAAGCACCAGCACGACGCTGGACGACTGACGGCGGCGGAGCTGAAGGCCTTACTGGAACAAGGGGATCACGGCATCGCAAACAACATGATTCGTTATAGTGCCAAGCTTCGAGGCACACGCGCATACTGGCACGCCCGTAGAAATGAGCTGCTAGATATGATACGGATCAAAGGGGCGCCACATGTTTTCTTCATTCTCAGCGCCGCCGATCTCCCGTGGCTTGACCTTCACCGGCATATGCCTCAAGCGCTCCCAAATCCTCCTGGTGATGAGGCTGGTGCGCGGAGGCAGAGACGATTAGCGCTCGAGCAAAATCCTCATCTGGCAGCATCTTACCTTGAAATCCGCGTGCAAACGCTGATGAAGCACGTCCTCGGACCGCTATTTAAATCTCAGACTTCTGGTATAGGTATGAATGGCAAGAGAGAGGTAGTGGACACGTACATGGGTTCCTGTGGGTAGATGGTGCGCCAAACGTCGACGAAATAGACTGGAGCACCCTGAAGGGCGATGGGCCGATCCCCGAGGAGCAGCAGCAGCGTATGGACACTTTCAGCAACTACTGGAAAAATCTGGTTAGCGCGCTCAATCCGTTTCCAAGGGACGACGAAAATGTACCACTCCTTGGCCCACACCCATGTAACAAGGACCGGGCCGACATGAAAAACACGAAGGAGGAGTTGGCAGAGCTGCTGAACTGGGTGGAGCGTCACACCAAGTGCTCCCCCGGCTATTGTCAGATCAAGCGGAAGGTACCAGGCCAACAGGAGCCACAGTTGCTTTGCCGATTTGATTATCCCATGGCCTGCCGCGCGGAGGCTGGTGTAGGGCACGACAACATAAAACGAATTCGTTTTGAGCCTGCACACAATGACCCGTTGCTCAATACGTATAACGCCGCCATGATCCTGGCGTGGCGGGCGAACGTGGACGTCAAACCTGTTATGAGTACTGATGTCGCAATAAAGTTAGTTTCATCCATCTGTCCCAAATTCTAATGCTCCCCTCGATGAAGCTATGTGGCTAAATACGCCGCGAAAGCCGAACAACAAGCTCCCGCATTTCCCCAGCTGCTGTCCAGCATCGTTGGTCAAATGGACGACGCTGCAACTGCCAAATCAGCATGCCAAAAACTTTTAAATAAAATGCTTGACGAAAGAACCTATTCCGCACAAGAAACAGCAAATCTTTTGCTTGGGATTCCTCTCGTTCGCGCGTCCGTGTCGTTTCAAACTCTGAACCTTGGGGCTGACGGCGGCATTCGGGAACTCCAAACAAATGACGATGACGGGGTAGAAGACCCGGATGAACGACGCGTTACAGGTGACTCGTGGTTCCAGAGGCTAGTTTAGGCTCACTAGACGCGGAATCGTTGTCAATGATCACTATTAATTGATCTCATCCAGATACATGAACCGAGCGCCGGAGCTCAATGACCTTTCTATGCACAAAGTGTTCCAGGGGTACACTTGGGTGAAGGACCGACGGCAGAAACGTCGCGCCACCACGGATGTCATCCTCCGCACATTTCCTCGTATTTCCCCGGATCCAGATGGCGATCAGTATGAGGCGTATTGCCGTACAAAAATCCTCCTGCATCATCCATACAGTGACTGCCCATAAGGCCTTGGGTGGAGGTCTCAAGATCTCCAAGGCCTTGGTTAAAGGTAAGGCCTTGGCCAAGGGCGCCTCCAAGGCCTTGGCTGACTTTTCCCACGCATCCAGGCGGTATCAAAAACAATAAATTTTAGCTTTAAATCTACTGGTAGTCCTCATCCGAGTCAATCTCAATAGCGCCATCGTCGGGACGTGCATCCTCCTCTTTGTCTGCCAGTTCCTGCATCAAGATCTTTTCCTCTTCCATGACTCGTGCAGATGGCTTGCGTGCACGCGGTTTCTCTGCCCCACCGAACAATAGCGCGCGTCGACGGAGAAGAAAAGATGGGAAAAAATAAAATGACATAGTGATATTCATGTGATGCTCTAAGGCTTGGCCAAGGGCGGAACTTCCGGCCGAAAATCGCCAAGGCCTTGGTCAAGGCCTTGTTAAGGGCTTGGAGTTTTAAGGCCTTGGGCCTTGGGCGATCACTGCATCCATATCGCGATTTAGCTGCACTACAACAAGCGGAAGGAGAAGAAAAAACCTGGGCAGAAATTTGGGCGCGTTGTCGGGCTGCCGAGCACGAACATCCGAAGGACACACTCCGATGCTGGGAACGAGAAAAAAGGGACGTGAAAGAAGAGGAGGACGAGGACGAGGACGAGGACGTCCCTAACCTAGATGCTCCACTTTTGAGTTTGTTGTCCAGCTGATTTTTGAATTTACAGCGCGACAGCTCGATGAGGAGACACGCTGCCAAGCGGAACCTGGGTGAATGAGTCATCAGAAATATGGGCTGAAAAGCACGATGACAAGACCCACATTCCCTGGCTTTTATGGGACACCCGATCGGTGATGTCATCCACGCGAGGACGCCAGATCTTCAATTTGGGATTTGTCTGTATTTCAGTCTTAACGAAGAATTTAATGTCCTCTTGTGTGACATTGAAGTTGAGAATAATACAGGGTACACCCCTGAAGCCCTCTGTGAAGATTTGGCGGGTTTGACTAGTGATGAAGAGGTGCAACGGGGAATCGGTCCAGTGCCGGAGCGTTGAAATAAGATCTACAATCTGGGATAACTCGTCGCACTCATCGAGGGCGTCGAGGACGACATAGGTACGCCTGAGCTCGCTGAGTAGCTGTTGGAGAATCTTCTGAAGATCCTCGTAACTCGGTAACTTCTGCCCATTAGACAGCTTGTACTGCTCGTCGAGTGCCCTGTAAGAATGCGGGGATTGTGCGGAAAGTTGGAGAACAATGCGTCGAAGCGCAGATTCCACGCTTTGGCGCTCCTTGTCCCGAAAGTCGAAATAGAAGAATGCGACAGCAGGAGGACGGGATTTCTCCCCGTCATCGAATAATCTTGCATCTGCAAAAAGCTGTTTGATCACCGTAGAGCTAGTGGTTGAATTTTATTAGATGCAAACAAGGAGAGAAGATCGGGGTAATTACCTGAGCACGCTCTTCCCGGCCCCAGCTGGTGGGAATTAGAATCGAAGATAACTCTCAGAATAATGACGTACAGGGACCCTCGATCCATAGAAAGCCGGCGTGGTCTTGCCATTCGATGAACCTGTCGCCCTCAAGGAACCAATGTCCCGTTCCGTCCTTACGAAGCTTCTCGGTGTCATGTTGTTTTTGTGACATGTCAGGGGGAGATTGTAGCCATTTTTCAAGCCTTTCCTTGACACTGTTTTCGGCTCAGCGGGCTCCGTGATTCGAGCGAACTAAGGAGGGAACTCACGCCATGTCATGAATCTTGTTGAGTGTTTCCGTGTTTGCACTCTGATTTATAGCAAGATCGACCAAACGATTGGTCTAAAACCGGCATGAGGGCTGTAACAACTTCAATGTGACTCGTTCTTACTCTGAATCTAGCTCCAAATGAATTCAATTCTTGATTGAGCGTGTCCATTTCCTCCCCCAGCTGGTTGTGGGCCACCCAACGAACAATCTTCCCTTGAGTATCATACTTGTCGACGAAATCAGAAGCCTTCGGGATCAATCTGCATAAACTAGTGATGAGATCCCACCCAAAATGAAAGAAAACAGAAGACTCAACGCAGCATATCTCTCGAGGTCTGCCTTGAGACGCCCAATAAGGTCGGGGCAGTTTTTTGCTTCTATTCGCAACACGGTCGCGCAGAGATCACCTGTAAGATTGGAAACCTGGGCGTCGAGGATGTCCCGCTTTTCACTCGCATCCTTCGCTTCCTAGTTTAACATATTTCTACAGTATTTTCTTTACGGAGTTGAAGGCTTGTGCGTGATGACATAAGACCCTCAAAAAATTTTGACCTCAGAAACATCAAAATTGGCCATATTCCGGCATGTTCTGTTGAACTCCCGAAATTTTTGCCGCGTTACGCGTGACGTGACATATCACGTGAGTGCTCGGTGAAAGTGACTGACGCCTACCTTACCTCTCCCCGTCGTATACATCGGCGTAGTGGCTCAGTTGGAATACCCTCTAGCTTATGTAATGAGAAGGTCCCCGGTTCGATCCCGGCAGCAGCCATTTAGTTCTGATGTTTCCAAAATCACAATTTGATCCCTGGGTGCTTGTTCCAACCCTGAATTTGCCTTGTCCCTGCAAATGCTGGTGCTCGGCAGCCAAGTGCGAGGCAAATTCAAGGTTTGAACAAGTGCCCAGTGCCCAAATTGTGGTTTTGGATGTCTTGCTTGCAGAAATTACACAGGTTGCGCAGGAGCCACGGAGCCACGGGGTGGCTCTCGGACTGTGCGCAAACCAGTGGTTTCACCGCCAAATTATGACGTCGATGACTCTTTGGTGGCTCTTTTGAGCCACTCGCCTGCTATTTTTGTGCATGGTCCGAGAGCCACGCCGTGGCTCCGTGGCTCCTGCGCAACCCGTCTATTGTTTGGCTCTGAACCAGGTCTATTTATGTGTTGGATGTACAACCATTGGAAGCCGCATTTTTCACGCATCATGAAGGCATCACTCAAGCTAGATATTGGCGCACATGATTTTCCAATGCAAGCGAAGTACTGGCTCAATATGTGTGAAAACGGCTGGTACGTCCTTTAGTCACTTGGTCGAAATGATACAGAGTAATGAACTTCTATAATCGATGAGGTCCTGGATGGCTTGGTCCATACCTTACCTGTATCATTGCCTCACAAGGGAAAAAAAAAAAGGGTGTTTTCTGAAAAATTGAGTCTCTGGAATCATCCCATATACAGACGTGGACTATACAGCATGAAAGTACTTGCAAGGCATCGTGGATGAACAGGGAAGCTGAATCTAGCAATATGAAGCCATGGCCATTTTCTTTTCTTGAAACTCCCTGTTTGAATCACCGAACAAGTCAGCAAGAATTGAGTCAACCACACTTTTTTTCTTTCCTTTTGGAAAAGATAGCCGAACACGGGGGACATGAGGAACCAACCGTAGGTTGGTGACGAGTGTCCATAGGCTTCACTTGAAACTGAGTGGAAACTGACCACTTGACTCTTGAATTGACCACAGAAAATATTGTCTGCTGTGAAACCCTTGACCGTGCGGAGCTGGGTTTTTGCTAGTGCAAGATATAATTCTGCTTGATTGCAGTGCGTCGGAACGGTTCCGACACAAGGACAGCACCTCTTTTTTTCATTGACCGTGCAGACCTTAGTGATATACAATGAAGGGTGAGAAAATTCGAAAGGAAATCTGCTACTGCACCAGTGTGTCGGAACGGTTCCGACACTGTCTTACTGGGTACTGCTACAGCACCTCTTTTTTTTGGGTGTGTGGACCCCAATCATATACAATGAAGGGCCAGAAATTTGCAAGGCAATCTGCTGCTGCACCAGTGTGTCGGAACGGTTCCGGCTCGTGGACAGCATCTCTGTTTTTTTTTTTTTCGCTGACCCTGCAGACCTCCACAATATACAATGAAGGGAGCTATGAGGTAAACAATGCGGAAATTGAACACATTATCAAATGCCCACATGGGGTGATTTCCGTGGGCCTTCGGGCCAGCCTAGGCGGCAGCCCTTCTCGGGTTTTTGACTGACATCACCGCGTGAGTTATGAGATAAACAATGCGGCAGTGTCTGTCCCGTGATGCATTAAGCAGGCTCGGGAGGCGGGTCATCAATTG